GGACTCATGGCCTGGCTGCTACCCTTGCCCCTTGCCTGGCTCGCTCCCTTCTTCATGCCCACTGTGGTGGGTGAGTGCATTGACTTGTTCCTCTCTCTGGCTGTCTGGCACTTTGGATCTCTGGTGTGTGATGTGGGAGTGGAGGGAGGAGTTTGGCTGCTGTCTGCCAGTTAATGATATCATTCTATACTGGGCAAATGGTCAGCAGAAGAAAGGCCAAGGTAGTAATCTGGTTTTGCCACATTGCAGCTTTTTCTCTGGTGGAATCCAAAGCCATCTTTTTCTAGGTTGCAGAGTAATGGGTTGATTTGTTGACATTGGATCCTCTTGTTTGACACTGACCTTGATGGTAATTGGCTTAGCATGATCCTTTTTGAATTCCAGATGAGTGGTGGCATTTCTAGATCCAGTTTCATCTGACCACATGCTCAGATAGATAGCTGCTTTTATGTTGGAACTAGAAGGTATGTTCATGTATCACTGAGTAGGAGGCCTTGGCCAGTCCTGTGAATGTTGCCCATGAGGGCTGTGGCTTTTCCTAGCATATTGAATGATGACTTGGAGTGATTGCAGAGTCTCACAGGTTCAGCTGTAAGGCGTCTTTGTCACTCATTGGCCATTAATAGGCCAAGCTTTTGTTACCTGGCTGTCAGAATCCATGTAAAAAGTATTAAGATGGTTGATAAGATTGTGATACATCTCTGCTTTGCTACATATATTTTACTATCAAAATTGTTCTGTGTTCCTTGATACTATCCAGTGCACATTTTACCATCCATAAATTTAAGTTCTGCTAATACCAGTCCTTTGGGGATCTCTCCATATGAGGTCTTTTAAACTTACTTGTTCTAGGTCAGGTGCTGAGGTTTTACTTGTTTCTTTTATATCCTTCAAAATGTGTTTAGGTATTATCAGCTTAAAGGGCCAATTTGTCCACTTTCCAGGACTTTGAAACTTATCTGTACTGAGAAATGATTTCTCTCTCCCCCTTGAACTTTACTGACTGAACATACTGCTGCACAAATTCGGACAGAACATTGATGATTTTTATTGGGATGTTTTGCATAGGGTAATACCCACAGGGGGAATCTCATCTCTTGACTGAGATGGCTACCTGGATGCTGATGTTGCAAACATCCCTCAATGGTGGGAGTCCTGGATGGACTGAGATTCCCCAAACTCTCCTTCAGAGTGAACTCTGTGATCACTACAGCATATACATGATCAGTTCTTGTTGATTATCTTGCCCTATGTAAGAAACATCTTAACTACAAACAAAGGACAGCCCCATGTGCCCGTCCTTCCCTAGGGAGGAAAGATGTTCACTGACTATAGACAATTATGCATGATTTGGCCAGTTCCTTTGACGGGAGCTGCGTGGAGAAATGCCTGGCTGTGCACTGGATTCTTCACCTCAGATGGGTAAGCAATATATCTAGCTAGCGTTGTGTCACCTTTATGAAGCAGAGCTGCTGCTGCAGGAGTTCCCTGGAGAACCTTCTGGCATGGCCCCACCCGCTGGGAGGGCTCCTGCAGCAACCGGTTGGTGGTTCTGTTATGAAGTGGCTGGTAGATCAGTTCACCCCTCATTGCCAAGCTACCTGAAATTTCAGTGAGTTCCTTCTTTGCAGATCCCTCTGTCTCAGCCATGCAGGGACAACCTAGCTGTGGAGGTGAGGGGTGGGCAGATGGGAAGGGTTGTGTCAAACACAGAGATTAAGGATCTTTTATGAAGGGAATGAGAACTTGCAGAGTTTGAACATTGTCCTAGAGCAGCTGGACTGTAGCTCTTCACAGAGAACAGAAAATGAGAAAATCCACACAGGAAAACAAAAAGGAGCTGACGTGCAGACTGAGACACCTGAGGGATTCTGGAGGAGGGCAGCATATCCCACCTAGCAGACAGAAGGATTACCAGCCTGGTATTATCAGCTCGTGCACAAATCATGCATGATTGTGTATAGTCAGTGAACATATTTCCTGCTCTCAGTGGGATGGTCGCCATTGGTCACTCATCTTTGGTTAAAGCTGCTGCACCTTGTTTAATGATGTTTTTAATGAAGAAAGAAAAACTTTTCAACATAATCTCGGCACCAAGACCAAAACTTTTTACATGCCAATTTAAAAATTGCCCAATTTGTAAGATCTTAAAATTGTACAACTTGCTTGAAAATTTGGAATAAAATAACAAACTCCACTCCTTCCAGCTGCTTTCTCCAAGTTAACAGTGCAGAAACACACAAGGGTTTTTATTAATTGCTATTGTTCGTTTAACAGGTGAGTAACCATTTTCATAACAAGTTCATTAAAAGATTTGGAAAACAAATTAATGCTGCATTCTAGATATATATATGGGCATTTCCATACAAATAACCAACCCAGAATAGTAGCTGTTGGGCAAGACAAAGCTCACAATAGACCTTTCAACATAATGTACAAAGGGGGAATGTTTCAAAAATACATCATGCACCCACAGATGTAAGTTTGGGTAGGAACTAACAGGAGTGGTGCTTCTACACCACTTACATACTTCTAAAAGTCCTCCTGAAAAGAACTCTTCAGTCTTAATATACTTACCTGCAAAGTGCCCATGAACAATTACGTCAGCGACTTGTATGAATAATTGACACTTCTAAAAAAGTGAAAGCAAGTATCATTTATTACAGTGCACCCATCCCTGTACAATTGAGCATATGATGCTTCAACTTACACATACTGAAAAAAGTATTTTACTTTTTTTACCCTTCTCTTTAGACATTGAGTGGTCAGTGACTGAAAAAAATGAAAAAGCATAAAATGTTTGATCTTTTAATACTAAGGACTAATGAATATGTACAAATTCAAGGCATGAATCACAAATCCATTGATATTGATTCACTGGCTGCTGTCTGTCAGCTCAGTTGAGTTGCTTAACTGCCTGTAGGTAGGTATGAGATGTGCCACGGCTGCCTGGTCAGATACCTTCCACATCCCAGGGGAATTACACACAGGGTAAATTATTCTAATTTGTTCTACTGGACAGTTAGGGCACATGCATATGGGCAGCTGCAGTTGCTTGGCTGAGGCTTTCTCACAAGAGTGGTAACTCCATCGTCTTCTCACCTCCCGCCCTTCGTTCCCTTGGCATCCAGACAAACTTTGGCCTTTCTGGCGTTTGTGATGGTATCTTTTTTCCCTAGATCTATGTACTACAGCTTTATAAAAAAAAAAAAATCAATACAATAGTACGAATAGCATCACTAACGTGAGGAAAACCACAATTGGAAAACCTGTGTTTTGTGTATAAATTCTGTTTCATGTTAGATATTTTTGCCAAGTAACTGGATTAGGTTGCACATGTTGCTTCACAAGATTTATCTTCTGTGCCCACATTGAAATGAAACCAAGAGGAAATAATAAGAGAAAAACCCACACCTGCTGGGGTCCTCTGTTAACCTGGGCCAGACATTCACTTTGCTGGATTGCTTCCAAGCCATGCAGTGGCTGATTGCCTAGAGCGAAGTGTTTGCCCAGTCTAGCTCTCAGTAAATAAAGAACTTCTAATTAAAGAACCAACACTAATCAAAGTCAAGTAACACAGATGAGCAGATATTATAAACAAAAGGGTAAACACTGACCTTTTGAGGCCTACGGCTTGATTAGAAAGGAGGAAAAGTTACTCTCAAAAATGCATGGCTCATTTGAAAAAGAAGGTGGTTCCTATTGCTAGAAGGACCCAAAGAATACTCAGTTTTAAAGGATTTCAAGCATGGAAATGTGCTGGGTTGGTGTTTGTTTTGGTTTTTGGTGTAGGCTTTTTTTTTTTTTTTTTAACTAGATCTGTTTATTTTACTGTACCAACTACATGAAAAAGTGCCCTTTCTTAAAAGTTTGCAAAGCTTGTATATCTGTAGGCTTCCATGGTCACATGCATGTGGAGTGGTGAATCATAAGCTCAAAATTTAAGGCTCGTGGAAAAGTATACCTCATTTCCAGAAGTGAGACAGTCGGGGAGGGAGGTAGTGGCTACAGGTGCAGACTGCACTTAGGTTCCTATCTGCCAACAACAAGTGGGACCTGTCCAGGGAGCAGAGCCAGGTGCAATGGCTGTAACCCACAGAGGTTCCCACAAGCTAACCAGGGCACTGGGCTGCAGATACTGCACTGCAGCCACACTGTGACATCTACAGTGGAGGCACACTCCTGGGTCACAACTAATACCCTCACAGAGGAAAAAAACCCAAAACATCAGTATTCTTAACATATCTCCTGTCTGAGAATATGCTCTCTAGTACGCAAGTGTGGATCCCTAGCTCCAGCAAGACTTTTGTTAATCTGTTTCTTTATGGGTCATTTTAATTGGCATCTTTTGAATGTTTCCTTCACAAAATACTATTTGTATATTAAGCTGGAAGACAATGCAAGACTGATTAATTTGAAACATGATGACACTGCTCCCACCTGAGAATACTAATACATACAGTCACACTATATATATTTACATAAATGTACATATGTACACGTGGATTATATACACCGAGCAGTTTGCTCAAACATGACCTCTGGTTCCAAACATCCACCTCAAAATCAGTCTTGCTTAAACCAAAAATATACAGTGGTGAGACACAATGTAGAACATCAGGGATAAGTAGCACAACGCGCTGCCCCACTTGGGGGAGACAAATCATGCTTCTCTGTTGGAGTGAGACCACTAAGCAAGTGTATCACTGAACCGAGTTGTGTTTTGCTGTTTCTGACACCTGAGGAAGCTGGCACAGCACTGTGCTACACTGCAGCCCGCAAAGCAAACACTCAGAGTTTAAGAGGATGCGTAGCTCACTGGAGCATCTGCTGTTAGACAGTGACAGGAAAGGCACCAACACTGCACGGCCCATGCAAAGACAAGTGTAACAAGGAGGAGAAACTGGAACATAGTAGGAGAATTTAACAGCTTTAGACTAAAACTGTGATTGTCCCTACTATGCATGGTGGACCATGTGAAATCTCACTACTTCCCCTACTTATCGTTTTCCTAACATGGTGTTTTCTGCCCTCTTGTACTTTTGTAGTTCAATAGATAGTTCCCAGTATCTCAGATACAGCCACATAAGTTTTCCATTTTGACTTTTGTTTCTATTCAGCAGATTGCCACAGTAGTTATCATGTTTGAAAATATCTTTTAAGCCGCTTTCCATATGCAGAGCCATAGCAACTGGATCAGCTGCAGCTTTAACTAGCAGGCTTTTCTCTATTTCTAGTCTTTGACTTCTAGGTACAACAAGACTGCAGTAGATGTCTTGTCGCTCTTTAAGTCCCTCTTCAAATTCCTTTAGTAAACTATTTGCTCTCTTTTGCCACTCTTCTTCCTTTGCCAGGCAACTGCGGTACAAGTTACCTGCTGCTCCTGAGTGCAACAGGACTTGTTTTTCTCGCTCTAACTTCTCCTGCTCCTGCTCTAGGATCCTTCTTTCTTCTACTAGCTTGCGACTCTGGGAGACGAGGGCTTCACGGTAACTCAGGGTTCTGTTCCGTTCCTTTTCAAGCTCCAGCTCCAAGTGAGCAACTGTGCGGCGATTTTCCGTGATTATATCCCGGTACTTGGCTTCCAGGTCTTTTTGTAAAGATGAATGTTTTTTATAATACTCTTTTTTTTCTCTTTCTATTTCTTTTTGACATTCTCTGGTCCAGATCCAACCTATCAAATATAAATGACGCTTCAGACATTAGTATAACACATAACATAGACGGGTATGATCAACTATGACTCTGAAGTCTATTAAGAGGTAAAAAATATCATCAATGATATTCATTTCTGTTCAGGTCCCACAAAATGTGTTTCTGTGGGCATACATTTCGCAGTTAAGTCACTTTAAATTATTGTGTTTGTTCCAAGGAAAAGCTCCTGTAGATTTTTTATTGCTAATACATACACTTCTTAGATTAAGAAGGAAAATAAAAGTTATGAGGAAACAAACTGGTGATTCCTAATGTAGGAGTTCCATCGAGAACTTTTGTGGTCCAGTATATCAATCTACATCAACAGCTCTTTGAGTTGTTACCCCTGGGGTCTCTAGACATCATCGCCTGAGAGAGCCTTGCAAACTGGAGCTTATTAAATATGGATTCAATTCCACGTGTGAAAATCAGCCTTTGCCTTAACGTTATAAAGAGCGCCTACTGCTTATAACATTTTAAATGAGCAGAGGGAAGCCTACATGGGACACTGCTGTACGATCACGGGATTGCCCCAGAGGATCCCCCCGGCCGGCGGGTGAGCCACCCCAGCTCCGGCCCCGGGGCCTGGGCGTTACTTACGGAAGGCGGCCAAGCCCAGCATGGGCACCAGCAGGGCGTAGTTCCATCTGCTGCCTTCGCCCCCGGGCTCTCGCTGGTTTGGCAGGATGTTCCAGTTGGGAGGGTCATTTAAGTTATTCATGAAGGCACCTGAGATCCGCGGGAGGGAAACGCGGCCTCAGCAGCACGCAGCGCACCCGGCCCGCCCGCGCACCGGCACCGTGCCGACCTCCG